ATTAGTAAGTCAAATTACTCAAACTAGTAAGTCAAATTCAAAATGTCAACCACGGACCTATCCATGGCCGAACCTCCTGTTCACACCCAAATGTTTGGACATTTAAAACATTTAGCTGGCTCTGTCGAATATTAGTCGACCTGGCAGAACACCAGGCAACCTTGCTCCCGCCCTACACATACACGTAATGACACATAACCATGGTTGGAGTAGTTCGGTATACTTGTTTATGAGGCAAAATTCGTGAATGTGTAACTGCTTTAGAATACTGTAATGCCGTTTTCCACAGCCATACCATGCCAGGGTGGGTGGAGCGAATATAACAACCACTGTTACAAGCTGTTTAAAGACAAAGTCAGCTGGTCTACTGCAAACGAGAGGTGCAAACAACATGGTGCAAATCTTGCTTCTGTTACAAGCGCTGACGAGAACAACTTCATTGCACGTCTCATCTCGGATGGTGGGTGATCATCACTTGATAGTGCAATATGCACGTATGCAATGGCTTCGGACCTAAGGTCATATATTTCTAAAACAGCCTCTGAATTTAGTTTAAATGAAGTTTTAGGTGTACTAAATAAGTGTATTATGTTTTGCACATTAGTTTAATATATTTCAGTTAATTTTTTTTTTATATTTGGGTTATTGAATTCGACTCTTCATGTTTTGTGAGTAATTTAACTGCATTGAGTCTGAACGGAGTTTATTATTTTACTCGGATATTTGATAAATTGTGGTCAATTTAAAAACTGCAACGCGTTAAAAACAAAGAAACAAACACTTGCACTGTGTCCATTATGTGTGGACGGTGGTTTGGAATGCTTTTAGCTGACAGAGGTATTTCAAGCAACACTGACATTAACGACACTTGTGCACACTTCTTACAGGATTTGTTTTTATTTTCGAACGTCATCTCGTCTGGTTTGGACTAAAAACGGATGGAAATGGTTGGAAGTGGACCGATGGCTCTCAATATACCTACAACAACTGGGCTCCGGGTGAACCAGGCCAGAGCTTTGTTTTGCAGAGTCGGAAATGTGCCAACATGTACGCCAAGGTATCTCTCGTTCGATACTTTCTGCAAACGTTAACAGGATAAGCCTGTGTTTGTTTTGAACAAAGGCCCCAATCAAGCTTCAACACTAACTTATTGACAAATGTAAGTCAGGCACAAGTAAGGCTATATTTCATTTCATATGGGGTTATAAGCAACGTTTAACAGTTTAACAGTTTGTTTATAAAAAAAACAGCCTCACACCCTGTACAAAACGTACTGAATAACACCGATTTTTTTACAGTTATTTGTCTGGCAAATGCAAATTAACATTGCAATACATATACAAACACACGGACAAAAACATTCCAAAAAGTGAAGCAGGGTCCGCCATTTTGTTTGTGTTGACCCCTTTCTCCCGGATGCCCGACGAAGAACGGTTTGAAGACACCATTGTGTTTTTAATTGAGCTGTCAAATGGCTTGTGATGAGTCGCTACTTCTACCACAAGGCGGAGGTAGAGGTCACAGTAAATCAAACTTAGGTACTCAGAACGGGTCGGTGAAAAAAATACTGGGGCTGTTAGGGTTTTCCATATCTAGCAAAATAGAAAGCAAAGAAACAGAAAGGTGCCGCTGTAAACCCTATCTAAGTCAAGAAAACATGGATTTAGGTTGGTTAGAACCCCTGCCCTTAAGAAGAAACCCTTTTGGCCAGAGCTCTCCTATATGGTAGCCATCATCCTCTGACCTTTGACCCCAACAAAGGTAAGAAAATGTTGTGTTTAAGAAGCTTTAAAAAGCAAGCAAAGACCCTAAACAAAGATTGATAAAAAAGGTAAGAAACGAAGATTATAACCTAAAATTAGTAGTTGATAAAACACACAGCTATCTGTAGTGTCTAATTTTCGTACAATTTTCAACAGGACGGCGGTTGGTATTTTCTCCGCGCATGGGGGGAGAAAGGAGAGTGGAACGAAGACGAGTGCTCCTGCCATCGTCCCTACGTTTGCAAGACTCCTAAATGATATAAATATTAAATCATGTTATTTGAGGAAAATACTCCTAGACTGAAGACAATGTAGGACCAAATAAAGCGTAGCCATTGGAGCAAACTGTACGTTAGTACAGATGTGTATTCGTGGTTTAATGCTCCTGTTTCTAGCTTGATCATATGCAGGAGGCATGGTTAAATGAAATGATCACTCTGTTTTTAGCATTGTTAAGAAACTAAAATTAGTTCTTAAGAAATTCGAAGCAATTTGTATAATGCCACATCAAGAAATTTTTGTCGGTGACATCAGCACGCAAAATAATTTTCACCTGATTTTCAAAAAAAGGGACAGTGGTCTGAGGTCTGTTGCCATGACGGCACGTTGATGGCAGATAAATACAAAAAGACAAGGCAAGGCTCTAAATTTATTGTTTTCTTCTTTTATTTTCATACAGTGGTGTACAGTATATCATTCCTTTATATGTGATGGTGGCTATTTCTGATATTCAATCAGTTCAGTTCATCCATCAGGTGACACCATGTGCTGTCACGCATGTCAGAGGACAATTCAACAACGCCCACCAATATTCCCAATGATCAAAACCATTAACACAATGATACAAAACTAATCTAATCTAATATCTCAAAGTTGTTTCAGTTCGAAATTGGTGTTGTAATAGTCAGCAATTTAGCACACTATAGGCATCATGTCTTTTTAACAAGTTTAATGGTGTCAAAATTTGAAAATGTAGGAATCTTGTTTTCTGGACTGCAATTTTTTCGTCCAATTGCATTGGAGTGGGATTCTTACGAGGTATGTCTTACTTTTCATTACCTGGATTTCATTATGTACATGTAGTAAAAATAGTACATGAATTGTCATAGTCTAAGATTACTTTGTTTGGCTCACAAATCTTAGGCTGTATTCAGATGTTAGCATAAGGCTCTTAAGTATGAGTGGACGCAAAAGAACAGTGCAGTAAAGTCTTTTTCAAATATTTCTATTAATGTATCAGTAACCAAGGCCGTGTTGCAATATAAAACATCCAAGTACAGTTCGATTAAGAGGAAAACGTGATGCTTGCAAGCGAGCAAAAAGAATGACTAGCACATTACCTGAAATTAGGTCTCGCATTTTGACGTTTGGAGGATCCTTTTAGTCAAGCAAGGCTGGTATGACTTTGAAAAAAAAATGTTTCTAAAGTAAACTAAATCTTTGACTGTATCATACTAACATTTAATGCACATCCTTTGGGTTATAGACATTTTCGTAGCAGAAGTGTCCAAAGTAAAATCACTATATAAAGGCAAGTGCGTAATTACGAAATCCAACTGAGAGTCTGCAGAGTAAAGTACGTTTTGAACATTTTAGAAAGCATTGAATATATAATTCGGGACAAAAGATGCATTTTGGCGTAGTTTGCATGGTTGTATTAGAGTGTTTTTCATTAACATAAGTTAAAGCAAATGTGTACTTATTTAATCGATTACAAAGACGTGTGCCTTTACAAAGTCGTAAAGCATAACGGCTAATGATTTCTATGTACAGGCCATAAACCTTTAAACTTAATGCAACTCCAGACTTCTACCTTGAAGTCCGCGAACGATTGATTGATTGACTTCTGACCCCAGGCTTATATATTAATTAAGTCGCTTTTTACCTTTTTTATTGGATAAAAACAATCTCTTCATGAGTTGTTTGCATTAAGTTTCATTATATGTTTAACAAATATGTTTTTGATTTTCCCCGGATTGGCTTATTGATCTCAAAGATATATTCAAACGTTGACGTGTTAGTGGAGACCCTAGCAAAATTTCTAGTTATAGCCATTACAAATATAATGTTATTTTGAAACTCTACACGTAATTGAAAACATTTACATTTATGTTTTATTAGTTTGATCACAGGAACAATGTAGTGCTCTATGATAAATAAAAATCCATCTTTTTGGAAGAAGTGTCATTTCTGCTTATTGTAGGTTTTCTTAATGATACATAAATTATGATAATGAGGACTTATTGTTCCCATTAAAATATGTCAAATCATTTCTGTTAGATAAATGAAACTATAGTAGTATAAAATTACTGTAAGAGCCAACAGTAAAGGTATTTTAACGAGATTTAATACGAGTAGAGGCGGACCAGGAGCTGCTACTGATTCATCCGAACCTAGCTAGCCGGGGGGGGGGGGACTACGTGGAGGCTCTGAGTGAGGACAGGGCTCTTTAATCCGAGTGTGTAGAAGGTAGTATAGGGAAGTATTTGAAAAAAAAAATTCAGTGTTTGGTGTTTGTAGTGACTTTTTGTTTCCGTTGTTTTCTCATCGTGTGGCACGTATTGTGGATCTTGTTCGTTATGTTATGTTGAGCCTGACTTAGCTGTCCTTCATGTTGGTGCAAATAACATTTCTTTTAACAGACCTATCGACAGTGACATGACTGGCAAAGACGCTCTTATCATGACAGCTAAAGACCGTTTCCCGTCTGCTTCTATATATGTCTTGTTTCCAGTGCCCTTCGCCACAAATAATAGATCGATATTTGAAGACTTAATGACAGATCTGGCAAAGTTATATAACCAAGGACATGTTCTCATTCTTGGTGATTTGAATTCCAGGACAGGTAGCCTACAAAAACAAATCGTTGACGACCTTGATGAAAACTCTACAGAAATCGAATTACATTTAACGATAGTGGTCACATTGGATTGTACAGAACTGTTTGTAGAAAAATCATCAGACCTTCATCCGAGGAAGCAATTGTATTACAATTACAAGCATCATGAGACTATCAAGTCTCTGATCGGTGTTAGCCCTAGCTTAGCTGTTACTTTCTATTCTCGTTGTTATGAGAGAAGGACATCTGATAAGTTTATTGTTGGTAACTCAAGTGAGCTCTTAGAGTCACTCCATCCAGGTGATGCTGTACTGGAAGACAAGGGTTTTAAAGTAAAGGGGGAACTAAATGAGCTTAGGGTTAAGTGAATCATGGAACAGGAACAGTGCCTACCTTTGGTTTATGAAGTTGATATTCCGAAAAAAAAAGATTTTCAATTGTTATGTTTACCGAAGGAAAACATCTTGTTTTTGCTCCATTTCTTCTTCTTTAGTTCCTAACACTAACATCTGACCTGGCCAATGGCCTCTTTTGTTTACGTCTGTCATCATAGTAATTGGTGTTGGGTTACATAATGTTGCAATTTCGTAGCAGTCATTTGGACTCCTGTCATCATTATACATGTATGTGAATGTCGCCAGTAGTTTAGTATGGGACTCTGGGAGCTTTACTTCAACTTTTCGCTCTTTCTTCTATCACGTTTAGGTTCAGAAGATTGACAAACTGTTTGACAAACTGTTCCACGACGAATTTTCAACGCTGAACATGGAAAGCAGAGGAACGCCGACGTTCGAATACGGAAATGCTCTCTCAAATGTCAGTTATACGATTCGATTTTTTGTACAGATATTTTCTGACAACACGAAAAAAGGTTGCTGTTGTTCGGTGAAATAAAATGTTCTCTTCATGAAACAAAAGAAAATGTTTGACCACAGCCTCGTTTACTGGTGTTTCTGTAACTAGTAAAATGTATGTACGAATATCTGACACTCAAGGAAGTGATAGGAGAGAAGGTTAGGAGTGGCGGTAACCTGCTGGCTGCCATGCGCGATAGATGTGCTTGGAATGGTAAAGGGAAAACCTGTGTTGTCTGGCATGCCAAAATTCAGCGAGAATTTGAAATGCATCACCAAACCAATGTGCAGTAAATACTGTATCAAAGTTGGTCAGTGCAGTATCCTACTTTGAAACCCTAAATCAATGGAAGGTAACGCAGTCTATCCCCATAGGTTTGTTGAAAAAAGTGAACGAGTCAAATACGTTTTGGGAAAACTATCCCAAAGACAACAACTTCTAAGAGGATGTACTTGTCGTTAGAGACATTTCTGAACAGGAACATTTTCGACGCTAACGTTGCTAACACACCACTGAGCCACCGCCTACCTGTGTGGCAGGGCGCCTGGTAGCAGGGGGCGAAGGAATTTAATCAAAGAAGTCTAAGCACTTTACCACAGACGTAGACGCTGAAGCCTGTTAACAAATATAACGTTAACGTTATACTCCAATGTAAACAAGTTGACAATCATTATGTATTCCAATTTGCGCTCAATTATATCGTTACAATCTGTCACAAATTCCATTTCCCGTAGCTGAAACAATTTAACGTGTTTACTGCCTGTAATACACAAACTTGCTATTTCCCGCGCGGGAACGTTGGCAACTTGATCTCGACCGCATCACCATGTCAAGGGTTCATTTTTTTTCCGCGAAATAAAGTAGTCCGTTTCATAATTTTTGGAGCTGACTTGCCTTACAAGAAAGCTTATCGTTGACGTCTGCAACCAACAGCTATCTAAAACTTTAATGTGTTCATGAACTTGATAGAAACATGATTTGCCTTTGTCCGGTCACAGTTTTAATTCTTGCAATCAGAAAACACATCGAAGAAATTTCCGATTTCTTTACTTTTGATAATGTCCTACGCAATGGCGGGAACGATGGTAACCGGATACCCCAAGCATCGCTTTTTTAGTGAACAACACCACAGTGTCAGTGATGATGATTGGCATATATGGGATGCGCCTAATATTTTTAAACAAAATTATTAATACACAGCACAGTCAGTATGGGTTGGCCCAGGTAGCTAAAACAAATTATGTATTTTGAGTATGGTTGCTACATGTAAGAAAGATTCAAAACAGACTGTTTTGAAAAGTACTACTAAATCATGGGTAAATAGAGCATGTTTTCAACAAATTTAACCAATAAGCATGCCACGTTAAATTATTAATAGTTTCCCGCCGTTGAAAGCCTTTGGTCGTCCGGGCGACTCTTAAACATAGAAAACGGATGAGCATTTTGCACGTTGGGTTCCTTTTGTTAGCTAGGGATATCCCAGTTTTTCAATTTTTGAGGTAGTATCGTACCAGCACTTTGCATACATGCTGTTTGGTCGCGTAACCTTTACACTACAGTAGCC